TTCAGTTACACAAATACCCGCGCCCCTCCCCAGCACCCTTGGGGGTCTGCCTCATTGAGTATTTTTTTCCGTAAGTTTGCCCCACCCTTTGGTGTCTACCGAGCTCAGAGCTAGGAGCCCAGAACACTCAGCAATTGAAACTCTAACCTCACTTGCTCCTGCCTTGAACACTAGACCGTTTGTTGTTCCGGTGTTTGGGGGGAGGGGAGGACCCGCTATTAGTTTTTAAGGGGCCGATCCTCGCATTGAAAAGGCGGACCAAAAAAAAAATTACCCTGCAAAATATTGCTGTAAAACGTCAATGATGTCAAACGACTGTTGCTACACCATTATTAGAGCACATGAAGAAAAAATACACACTTACACAGTCTCCATAATTGTGAATCAGCAGAACACATTGTGTCTGATTAAGTATCAGTTGCCATTCGAGACCCCCCAGAAGGACTTGGTGGGGCCTTCCCTTGAGCCTGCCCTCCGGCGCTCCCGGGCTCCCTGGGCTTGTGCAGACTGAAGCTGAGGTATTACATGCAATCGACAAACGAAGAGTGCAACAGAAAACCCAGGCGGGCTCATGATGCAACCCGGCCCTGGTTACACGTGCTTCCCCTCCCCCACCGCCTGCTGGTGGGAGCGAGGCGTTTTTTCCGCCTGTAGGGTCACATTGTGGTTGATTGATTCTCCTTTCGCCTTGTTCAGTCATTCAGATTTGGAAAGTAAATAACAAGTTGACATCATTATGGCTCTAGGCTTTACGGGGACTCGGCCCTCCGCTACCGCATACTCCCGAGTAGCCGCGCACCACCAAACCAGCCGCCTAGCCCGCCAGCCCAGCTCGTCCTTGGCTGCTTGGAAATTCCAACCTGAACTTCCTTCAAAAGCTTGTTTGTTTCTTTCTATGACTTGGCAGATATCGGACACCGAAGGCTGGGGAGAGTGGTGGAAATGATTCCTCCCAGCAGGGACAGCTCAGAATCCACCTTTCCTCTTGGGGGCTGGCCCCCAAATCCCAAGGGTCCTCTTGCCTATAAAAAGGTAAGGCTTTGCAGAGGAGATAGCTCTGTAGCCTAAGCGCCTGCCTGGCAAGGGCAAGGTCTAGAGTTCTATCCCCCGTACAGCAAAAGACAAACAACAACAGCAACAATAATCAGGGCTTTTATCAAAGACTGGTAGGACCCACCCCCCAAGGGCAGGAGCGCCTCCCCCTCCCCTCGCCGCTCACCCACCCCTGCCATGTATCACAAAACCACCAAAAAACACTGTTGTTTCTGAGTGCCACGTGAGAGGTGTGTGTGTGGTGCATGACGCTATTCTGTGGCATCTTTTTAGCAGTTTCTCAAAGGAGCAACCCTGGAAGGAAATCGAGAAATAGAGGAAATCAGCAGGAAGGCTTTTTATCCTTGTGATGGGTAAAGGAGGACTGGAAAAAAGAGGCCTGGTTTTCATGATGCCCCCTGCACTGCCAGTGTGTGTGTGTGTGTGTGTGTGTGTGTGTGTGTGTGTGTGATGTTCTAAACTAGAGAATGGGGAATACAAGAATCGGCTTAGGACACCATCGGGGTACTCAAAAGCTAACTCAAGGGCAGTAAGAGTCTTTCATTCTGGGAAAAAAAAAAAAAAAAAAAAAAACAAAGTTGTACTAACAATGAAAAGATCAGTAGTTATACTCCCCATAGCTGCTAGGTGTACTTTGTTTCCTCTATTTATCCCACCTGACAGGGCTAGGTTCCAGGACTCTAATCCCAGCCCAAGAGAGGCTTAGGCGGGAGGGTTACCTAAATTCACAAATGCAAAGCCAGCCTGGGGCAACTTAAGAGATACTATCTCAAAAAGAGTAAACCTACAAAACACAGGCTGGAGGGGCCAGGAAGATAGCTCTGGGGCACAGAAGAGCAGGGTCCTGAGGTCAAGTTGGAGTATGCTCCCAAAAAAACAACAAACAAAAAACTTGCTGGAGAAGGCTGGCCAGATAGCTCGGTGGACTAAGCTGGCGAAGGAACCCGGGATTCCATGCCCAGTTTGCAGTGCCAGGCCCTCACCTGGGGGGTGCTGAGACACAGATTGAGACTGGCCGTGGTTGTGGGCACCTATAATCCCAGCGTGGGAGGCTGAAAACAGGAGCATCACTGAGTCCGATCTGCATGGTGAGACCCTGTAGCCCCTGTGCTAAATGCACTAAAAAATAAAAATAAATAAAAATAAACAGGCTGGAGATACAGCCTAATATGAAGGCCCTGGCTTCAACCACAAGTAGTGCAAAATAATAATAGTGATTATTATTAACTATACTGATTATTATATTAATATATGGTATTACTTTTTTTATACAAAACAAAGACTGAATCTTAACGTGAACAGTAGAATTTAGTTACTAATAACTGGTTCACTAATCGTGAATCTCTACCAAACTCACTTAATATGTTAATACCAGAAGCTGGGGATGGAAGAATTCTATGCAATATGCCCAGCTGCTCTGTAAATCTACAACTATTTTTTTTTTACAACTATTTTTTATAATAGCCAGACACACCTGTAGTTCCAGCTACTACTCAGAACGAAACTAAAGCAAGTTCTCACTTGAGCTCAGGCAATCAAAGCCAGGAAAGGCAATAGAGTGACACCCTGTAAAAAACGATTTTTAAAAAATTCTTGAAACACAGCACATTATTTCAAGAATAATACCCTTGTCCACTAAAAGCAAGGATAGTGGGAATAGATATTAGGCTTCTCATGAAACCTAATGCCCTATCTTGTTATTTTATATTTTTCTTCCCGTATTTCTTTTGCAGTACCGGGGATTGAACTCAGGCCCTGCCGCTTGCCAGGGACGCGCTTACGCCACTGAGCCACCTCCCCGGCTCCTACATTAGCATCTTACTGCTTACCACCTTCCTGCTCTATTTTACCAAGTGGTATGCCTTATATGGTTGCCACCATCTTTGGAGAGAAGACTGGGAAGCCAATCAAGATCCCTCCCCACGTATTATGCAATACAACTGCTGTACCACTCAAAAGAAAGACGATAAAAAGAGGTCCACAGGTGCAAATAGAAAAGTTAAAGCAAAGTCTGAAGTTAATCATTTATATACTTATTTATTTATTTGGAACAAGGTCTCACTACACAGCTTAGGCTCACAGTGATCCTCCTGTCTCAGCCTCCCCAGCGCTGGGGTTACAGGTATGCACCACCAGGCCTGGTTTTGCTGGCCGGCTTGGCTTGAGGCCAGCACGGCATGCGGTACCAGGGATCAAACCCAGGTCCTTGTGTTTGCCAGGCAGGCGCTTAGACCGCTGAGCTATCTCCCCAACCCTGAAGTTATTTTGAAAGGCAATGGTATTCACCCTCTACAAGTTTAAGGGAACACCAAAAACAGTCAGTAAGATAAAAAAAAATAGACTGCTTTTTGTGTGAATGCGTGCTAGTCAAGCGCTTTACCACTGGAATATACTCTGAGCCCACATAATCCCATATTCTAAAGAGCAAACTAAATGGCAAAACACTGCTGTGAATGAAAGATCAAAACGCGAGTCAAAGACGGGGTCCGGCGTGCCTTCCCGACCTGGCCTAATCCCCTACCACACAGCATGCAGAGTGGGGACACTGAGGACACCACGGGACAGTTGTGTTTCCCTTCTGTCCTGATACAGGAGTTTGATGATCTTGTTCCAGGAGACTAAATGACTTGTGAACTTCCTCCTGGGAAAGTGTGTGTGTGTGTGATTGTGTGTGTGTGTGTGATTGCATGTGTGTGTGTGTGTGTGTGTGTGTGTGTGTCTTAATTTTAGGATAAATTAAATGAAGGACTATTTAAAAGTAGCTTTAATAGAAAAGCGAAGGGATAGCTGGAAGGACACAAGTATCCGTGGCATCCTGGCTAGTGATGCTGCAGGACTCTGGGGAGTGCAGAGTCCTTGTGGCAGAGATGGTCGGGATCCCTGGAAGCATGTGTCCGAATGACTTGGACTCCAGGGGAGCAGAAGCGACCAACAAAGGAGTCACCAAGACGCTAGGAAAAGTACTGGATGAAAAGAATTTCAGGGCCGGGAGATAGCTCAGTAGAATAAGCGCTTGCCTGGCAAGCGCAAGGGCCTGGGTTCAATCCCCAGTTCAGCCAAAAAAAAAAAAAGAAACAAAAGAATTTCATATTTTTCTACCCAGGACAGTTTTAGAATTCTCTAAACACCTCCCAGCACTGTCCCAGTGATGTCCATAGTAACCTTCACAGGGTCTCCTACTCATCTTTGAAGGAGTGAGGTAGCCCTACAGCTCAGATAGCTCAGAGTCTCTCTGAGAGGGGCCAGAACTCAGAGAGTGCAGGGCGGGATTTCTTCCCTACTGCTGCTGCAACATACTCAGGGGTTTTAAATATTATTATCCGTTTATTATTTAATTTTTTTTTTCTGGTTCAGCTGGGGTAGGGCTGACACAGAATGTGGTGCCGGGGACTGAACTGCAGTCCCTTGGACCTGCCTAAGCTTGCCTAAGCAGGTGCTTTAGACTGCTGAGCTACCTCACCAGCCCCTACCTAGGTATTATTACCCATTGATTACCTAACAGTTCCGTGGTTCAGGAGGTCCAAATGGTCTCTCAGGGTGTGACCGTTTTTTTGTTTTTGTGGTGGCGGGAGTATTGAGACTCGAACCAAGGACTACATGTTTTCTTTTAAGACAGGGCCGCACCAAGTGGCTACACTGCTCAGGCCTGGCTGAAAGGTGCTGTCCTCGCGCTTCAGCCCCCAGAGTGCTAGGATTACAGGCCTGTGCTGACATCAGGCCTGGCTATTCTTATCTTTCAACTGACTGGGCTACAGGACACCCACTCACCTGATTAATCACTCTTTCCCTAGTGTGGCTGGGTACCCCTGCATCCAGTGAGGTCCAGCACAGGACAAAGAGGTGGAGAAGGGCTTCTCTCACTCCCCCTCTGTCTGGCTCCTGGGGCTGGAACAACATCTTCCCCTATCCTCAGCATTCTTATTCTCAGAACTACAGACCTGGACTGGAATCACACCATCAGCTTTTTCAACCACCCCATGAATAGATCACTATGTCTGTCTGTCTGTCTGTCTGTCTGTCTGTCTGTCTGTCTGTCTGTCTGTCTGCCTACCTACCTGCCTGCCTGTCTGCCTGTCTACCTGCCTGCCTGCCTGTCTACCTGCCTGTCTGTCTGCCTGTCTGTCTGCCTGCCTTCCTACCTGTTTGTCTATTTCTGTTTCTGTCTCTGTCTCCCTCCCTCCCTCCCTCCTTTCCTCTCTTCTTTCTTCCTTCTTTGCCTCCTTCCCCCTCTTCTTTTCTCACCCTCCCCCCCAGGTCTTCTGTTGGTTCTATTTGCCCAGAGAACACGCTATCCAGGTTCTGTAGGCCTGAATTCCTCCCAGAGGCTCTAGGGGATGCTGAGTCTGTCCCAAGGTCCAGAGCACACTGCCTCTTTCCTCCATCTTCAGGGGCAGCCACAGATAGAAGACCCAGTTCTCCTCCAGCACATACTCTTCTGTGCCACCTCTCTTCTAATTTAAAAGTCTTGC